AAGAAACAATAATAGTAATAGATGGAAATAAAAAAAAAAAAAAAGAAAAAAAAAGAGAGAGAGAAAAAGAAAAAGAAAACATGAAAACGAAAGCTTCCGCGAACACTTATGTACAAGCGGCTTTCCTTCTTGTAATATCTAGTCTGTATATCATGGAGAAAGAATGGAATAATCACGCGAATAGTCACTTTTTACCTCGAAATGAAATTTCATTTTCGATTCGGAAACTTTCTCGCACGCTCCGCGAAACATTCCTGTTCGAGCAATGTTTCATGCGTTCATAATCGTAATTACGCACATATATACACATACACACACACACATACAGACATACATATATATTTTTCATTCAAATTCCATTTAAATGAAATCACTTTGTAATCGCTATTTTATTGTAATTGAAATGATGAAATCGATTTATTAAAAAATCAAGAAGAGATGAAACGCAAGAAGATGAAGAAAGATCAAGTATTTCCCTAGAAATTGGCAAATATGATGACAAGAAAAATTATTTCGATGATTGGTAATTAATTTTCTTTTCTTTTTTTTTTTTTTTTTTTATACACAAGTTGAATTTGTTTATATTTTTTTCTTCTATTTCATTCCTTTTCCTTTTTTTTTTTCTCTTTTAACAATTGAATTATAAACGGTTGTACATCTTCGACTTGTCTTCTTTCGCGCATGAAATCATCTCGAACACGAATGCGACTGACACGTTCGTAACTTTTTTTTTATCCTTCGTCGCCTTGATGTAGCACATTGTTCGAATTAGAAAAAAAAAAAAAAAAAAAAAAAAAAGGAAATGTTTTTTTTTTTTTTTTTTTTTTTGAAAGGAAGAAACGTGGACGGTCGAGGACAAGGCGAGTATTAAATTAGCACAAATCGACACCTTGGCGATCAAAATCAATTTTCCGTGTTACGTTCGAGAGGATGAAAAGAAATTGAACCCACTTAGACGCTTACCAGGAGCACTCATAGTGTAAGAAATAATAAAAGTTAATAATAAAAAAAAAATTGCTTTGACTTATGTTGATTGTTGTTGTTGTCCTTTTTTTACTTTCATCACACGTCTCATCACCTATCGCGAGAAGAATTGAAGAATCATTATTTATATATATATGACGAAGTGAAAAATATTAAATGCAAATCGTTTCGTATCTAATTTGTGCAGAATTTTATTGTAATAAGATAGCTTTTTCTACACTGTTAGATTATGATTTTACGCTAAAGATTCGAGGGATCGTTTGAATCCTTTTTTTCGTTTTTGTTTCAGGATGCATCGAAAGGGCAAAAATACAGTTCTGCCTGCGATTGAAACGTATTTTTTTTTTTCTTTCTTTTTTTTTTCTTTTTTCTTTTTTTTTTTCTTTTTTTTCACCATAATTTCATAATACAACAAACAACACATGACACAAATTCATTTGAACTCGCAGGTAATTCAAGATTTTTTTCAAAAGTATTATACACTTTTAATTCCCTTAAGGACTTAATCTAACGTATGGATCAAATGGAATTATACGGAATTAAACGAAATAAAAAGTAAATTTCAATCGGTTGACAGAGATTACGAACCGTTTTTAAGAGGAACGGTTGAGTCGGAGATCACTAACCTCTCGGAAATAGTTAGTTAATCGTCCGCGAGAGCTCACACGCAGAGAAAAATCAGTATATCTTGAAGCGTTGCAGGCTGTGAAAAAATTTCGATCTCGATGCCATGGCAGTGACGATCCCGAGCATAGCTTGCCAACACGAGAGAGAGAAAGATTCTCGTGTGCATATCGTTTGTATCTACCGCTATACGTATACATATATATATATACATATATGTATATATATATATGATATGTATGTATATATATATCGTATCGTATTTAAACTCTGCATATTTTCCCCTATATCTCATCAATTTATTATCTCTAGTAAATGTAAACGAAAAAAAGGGAAGAGAAAAGAAAGGGGAGAATTGACGGAGAAGCGCGTTGACCCGCAACACAGCAATTTTTTCTGAGAAAAAAAATCTCTTCGAAACGACGACGAAGAAAATAAATTGACCGTTCATTCGAATTCACAAAAGGGTGCGTGTGTTTTTTTTTTTTTTCTTTCTTTCTTTTTTATATAATATTTATCTCCACTCATCATCTCGCCATTCTTTCTCGCTTTAAAACTATTTTTTGTTGCTTAAAATCTACAAAGGGGCGCCAGCGCCCCGGGAATTGCACGCTCCTGAACGTGCGTATATC